ACGGAAATTTTCAAGACTGGACGTTAAGTAGCTTTTTATTTAAAAAATAAAGTATGACAGGAAGTCTGCGACGTCGCAAACTGAGATACGTGGTTTGGTAGTTTCACCGTCGATATGTACTTAAATTCGTTCAGTAGCCTAGTTCGGAAAGAGGGTCTGGAGCGCGACCCCCCTCTGCGCGAGGAGTGTCTCTGCCTGTGTCTTTTCAAACTCCCCGTTTGATTTTACAGAAGATCCTGTTGGACTTATCGCTCCGCCAGCGGGTCGTTTTAATTAGCGATCTCGGCGTGGAGCCGGGCGCGATGGGCGCTGTGTTGGGTGAGGTCCGGGCGGTCGGTGGTGGCGGCGTGGCGGGCGCCCGCGATGACATCAGCGGAGAACAATTCCGCCGGGGCTCAGTGGCCTGTCACGCGCCCGATTCGCGGCTCGAATTCTTGAACTAGGTCTGGCTTTCGGACGCGCGAACAAGTGCCCGCCCACGCGCCCTCGCAACTTGTCCCGCTGCCCACCGGCACCAGCGTCAACACCGGCACCGGCCGCGCGTTCCCACTCCGGATCACCCGTCACGTCACGTCCTCTCCTCTCGGGCTCTCGTCCAGTCGCCATTGGAGTCCGTTGGAATGGGCCTGTTGCAAACTTTTGCTAGAGCAGAATGAAGAGTTGTTTCCTATAGATAATGCCTCAAAAATCACGATGAGCGCATCGGCAAAGTCTGAAATGCATTCATAAATTCACAATCTGCGTAAGATATTTGCGTCATTTTGAGCTTCCCGCTTCAAAAACGATACTACTGCACAGGTGAACATTTTGTTAGAGGAGTCGCTCCATCGTCGGCAATATTCATCATGGCCGACGCTTGCGCAGTTCCTCGCGTAATTCGAGGAGAGTTCAAGGTCAATTAAGGCGGGCGAGGAAAATATGAACGTAAACACGCCGATTGTTATATGGTTTAATCCTGTTCAGGTGTTATCTCGTCCCATCACACGTGTTTTGGCGGACTGGCGTAGGCCATGATGAGTATTGTCACCAATGGAACGACTCCTCTAACAAAATGTTCACCTGTACCGTAGTATCGTTTTCGAAGCGGGAAGCTCAAAAAACCGCAAAAATCTTACGCAGATTGTGAAGTTATGAGTGCATTTCAGACTTTGCCGATGCGCTCATCGTGATTTTTGAGGCATTATCTGCAGGAAACAACTCTTAGTTTTGCTCTAGCAAAAGTTTGCAACAGGCCCATTACATGCCCATTCTCAACTGGAACAGAAGCTAAAAAATGTAAAAATTAGAACGAGAAAATAAGCATGCAACTGACCGAGGTAGGAATCAGTGCAAACTCATGTACATATACATATGCTCATGTGCATATGTGTGCATATTTCAGCATTACCGAAAGCCACATTCTTACTGGATTCCTGCGTTTTTCGATCATCCTTTTTTTCTAGCCTTGCGTTAAAGTCTCTCCCCGATTTATTCATGATTACTTCGTTTTGTGGCCAATCTCTATGTCTTGCCGGGCGTTGAAGTCTTTCCGATTAGTTCATGCTCATTATTGCACCTTTCAGCAGTGGGTGGGGACTACACACCGTGACTTTTTGCAATTTTCATGAGTTACTTTTTGACCTCTTAAAAATATCCGATGAAAATTTATCAAATGTTTCGGGTATATCTGAAAGTATATATTTTGAAGCATTGCAAACCAAATTAGTGTTTTTCTAGTGTCTCTATATCGATATGAGGGTTTCATTAAGTCCATCTTAGCATTCATTCAATTCTGTGCTAAGGAAGATAACAGTAAGTTTATCGCAAAAAACCAGGATTTTTAACTTTTTGCAGAATGCAAGAAAACTGCAGTGGCCATTACATGGCCTCTTATCCAGGGTGACCCATAACGTCAGCACTGCTCTTTCGTAGCTCGTAGCTTGTCCTTTGAAACCTTTATAGTAATAATTAATACCTTGCAATATGTGCGATCCTTTCTACGTACACCGATCTCCTTCTTAGTACGACAGTATGGAGCATGTTCCTAGCTCTAAAAAGTTATAAAACGTTAGGCTCTTTCATTCCGAGGCACATTTTTCCGTGCAAGCGCTGAAACAGGGATGAGGTTGGTAACAGAGAAACCATGCGGCCTTTGACCTTGCCAATCTAAATACGTCCAACCCGCAATCCGTGCAGTTGCCAGTTGTGACCTACGTAGAGGCACGGTGTTTGCTGACCGGTGCGGGACTGCGGGTGCCCATCCATAATCTCATTTCTTTGCAACCTTGAATCCAGGCTGAAGCCATACCGGAGCATACCATAAACTGTACTTATCGTATTGTTCCCATTCTTGCGTCGTGACTTCGTGCGATGCCGATGCTTGTCCACGTAGACTTTTTGATTTCGATTCCGCATTTTCGTCGAATATGCACGAGGGCTATTTCCTGGACCGTACGCCTTGTTGCTTTCCTTGAAAAATGACCCCAAAGAAAGCGTCTATTTATTTCTACCTAAAAACCTAAACGTTTTATTGATTCTATGAAAAATTTTGGAGAGTATATAAGTATGATTACAGACACAGATACAGGTTCCATTTTTAAGATAAATTGTATATCCTGATGCGTATATTTTTAATCCTGATTAAGGTAAATAATTATAATCTATATACTATTCGCCTTTATTAAATCATGTCAAATTAATCTATGGTGAGATCAAGTAATAAAAAATCCGGATGTAGCTATTATATTGCAAACGAAGAAGCTGTATGTCGCGTCCATGCTTTCAAGCCAATTGAGCGCCCACTAAGACAAAATAATTTTACCTCTGATTTGGAAGTATCTCGGAGTTTTTCATATCTCAAGGAAAAAGTTTCGTGTATTGTTAGCGTCAAGTTGGGTTTCTATGACTTTGTGAAAAATGAAATGCGCGAAACCTTCCAAAAAAAAGACACACTTGGCACGAAATTAATTAAAGCGCCTGGATACAACTATTCGTGCTCAAGGGACGTCCGCATTGCATATCTGCACAAAATGAAGGCGCTCTTAATTCGTTTCACGTATACAGTGCCTCGTTTATCGCCAGGTGGGAAGTGACATCACTCACTCTGAGGTAAGATAACACACGGTGATACTTCGAATAGATAACTAGTTCTGGATGGAGAATGTTTTCTGGTGCACAGGTGTTGAAGGCAAAATATAGGACGTGTTTGATTTACATTCCCCCTTGTCTTGCCAATTCGGCTTTCTTTGAATTTTCTGCCAGAAAGTGCTCTTGAACAAACTTATCAAATCTGAGAAGACAAAATATCCAGTTCATGACAATTACTTTACCGGATTTCAGCCTGACTCTGTGGGTTCACAATATTGTATAAATGTTGAACGTGATCAGGAGGAGGCCGACGATTTGCGATGGGAGCCGGGGCTCGAGTCAAAGGCCGACGGGCAGACTCATCGCGGACAGGAAGGCGCACTTGCATGGGGATCGTGCAATGATTGGAGGTTTCAGTGTCATCGAGAGCGCTGTCTGGTGACTGCATTAGGAATGACAATGACAACGAGTCGGCCGGAGATCGATGCGCCATTACTCACAAGCATGCGCGGTTCATTTATAACTCACCGGCTCCCATTTACTAGCAGGCACGAGTCGCACGCCACTGGTGCCGTTTCGTCTCGAGGGAAAAACGTATTGATGTGGAAGCACAAACAGGGTGTCCACAAGACCGGAATTTTCGGAAATAGTACTGATTTTTTAAGGGCCGTCCGGAAGTACTCTGAAAAAGTGCGGAAAGTTCGTTAGAAGGTCCGGAATTTTTATCTTTGTTGCAATTTGAGAGAGCAGTTCCAATTTTTGAAATTTTTCGAATTTCGTCAAATGGAGGTACTAAAAAAGTACTGAATTTTTCCGTTGAGGAGGTACTGAATTTCTCGGGAATGTACTGAAGAAGTACTGTAAAAGTACTGATTTTTGGCCAGCCTGTTCTAGTAGACACCCTGAAAAACATGCGTAACTCGGTTTTTGACGCTGCAGACCTCGATTGAAAAGTCAGATTTTGAGGCTTCAGAGAAGAACTGGACCACATTTTGCAGTAAGGAACCACTATTCCTGGCTCAATTTAAAAACAGCATTTGTCATGTGTCATTGATTTTCCTATGCAGAAAGGTACTTTCATGGAAGCGCCAGAGATAGTGATTCCTTGTTGGAAAATGTAATCCTACTCTTCCAATCGGGGCGTGACCTTACGGTACGAGGAGGAGAGGCGAGAGTTCGCTAAAATACTACGGTTACGTGACGGGGCGGCATGGAAAGGGGTAAAGTTGCATAAAGAATTGTAAGTGGTGATTTTGGCGGCATTTTCGATAGTTTGGCTAAGAAACATGTTGGAAAACGCCGATTTATATAAAAAAGGGGTGGCTCTGCGCACATCCTTGATGTAATGTTTAGGAATTTGACAGATCTGCGGAAGCAATTTCGATTTGAATCAATTAAAGTTGTTGAAAAAAATTGTGGACGATACCATCCGCCTTTTTAGTGAATACGATGGTTTTCTCTACACATTGCGATCTCATATTATTATGTAATCTCAGAAAAACCTGTGCAAATGTATGTATCATCGTCTCATTAAATCTAGGTGGAAGCAACCGTAATTTACCTACGGTTGTCGTGAAGTATATCTCTCATGGAGCTTTTCAAAAGGTACAGAGAGGCATCTGGATCAATCTTCCTCAATGAAACAGTTTCGTCCTTGCCGTTTGTTCATAACGTGTTTGACTTTTAAATTTATAATTTGTGACAATGTGACGTGTTTAAGCCATTATTATAAGCCAGGATTTTTTCATACGTATTCTTTTTTGCGATGTCTTACGTTAAGATACTCATGATGTATACTCTTTTTGTGAGTATGATAAAACGCTAAAACTTTTAATTGTGTGAGGGCAACTTCCTGCTCAGAAGAACTAAAAATATATTTAGTAGTTCCTTCGTCAAAAATATTACATACAAATATTAAATACACGTGTAACTGTCTCAATATTTGAATTCTTCTCAAATCGGCACCGTAAAATGAACATATAAGATTGTGTAATATAAAAGATTCGATCAGAATGATTTATCAATAAGCTCGACAGCGTTACTTATCTTAACTAAGTTGTTAATTTCCTTTTATCAGATTCAGTCAGCATGTAGACTTCATCAAACTTGCTAGCACTCCTCAAATTATGTTTAAAACTCTTCTTTTTTTGGGATGCCTCCTCGTCGTTTCAATCAAATCTGAAGTAGGTAATCATATATTTTGTGGGAACTTCTAAAATCAAAATATCGCAATTACAATAATATGCTTCCCTGTTCGTGTTCAATAGAGCAAGAGCAACTATAGCTCCCGCGTATTTAAACAAATAAACGTGATTACGACCTTACAGGTTATCAGTGTGAGAACATGTTTTTCAGTTTACAAATACTATATCATTAAATGTAGAACTGAAGTAAAATGCATGTATTTGTGTAGTATCTATACTGAAATTTAGTTTTTCAGAACCCATTATGTACTTTAAAGAGTTTTATTAAGCCTCTTTACCATAACAATATGATACAAGTTTCTCAGGAAATATCGCAATCAGGTTCCATTATCTCTTTTGAATACAAATTTCAAATCAATTACATACATTTACTTTAATTTAGTTTTCATGAAAAAGATAATTGTCTTGTTACTAAGTTTTAATGAGAAGCAAAGATTTTCTATGCATATTACGACGATGGGATGTACAACCCCTATCTATACTAAGTATAGTCATTACGCAATCTAAACTGGTCATTTTCCAGATGATTTCAACCAAATACATGGAAGACTTTAAACATGCCCTGAAAGATTATGGATCATTAGTAAAGACGGAAAAAGATCTCTTGAAACAACTTCAAGACGATTTGAATCTGAATACACATAGCGCCACCACAACTTATTTGTCATTTGTGAAGGAATTGTACTTATTGCACGAGGAACTCCAGATGAAATTTGAAAAAATCCAACGGGTGTTTAATGGCACTCGTCATCAAGATTTTCAAGTAAGAATAGCTTGAACAAAATCGTCCCCAACTAATCGAAAGGAATGGTCCCAAAGACAAAGATACAAGTACTTATTCACTCCCATTTTTTGGATCAGAGATCAGCTACTACACGAGTCGTCTAGTAATTATATTCGACAATGCTCATGACACTTTTCCTGACAATTCATCAAAATTGAAGTATAAACTTTTTTTTTTAAAATTTTAAATTTGGGCAAGGATGCGTATTTACTTCAGTTACTTTTTCAAAGCCTTATAGAATTCTAAAAACTCATTCTATAGAGTCACATTTCGTGATGTGTTCAGCTTGTCAATGTCTTGCAAAACTGTTTTTCTATTCAGAGCACATCTGATCACAGAAACCACCTGAATTTTTTCTATGTGCTCTAAATGGAAGAGGCTTGGAAGTTACGATGCTTCGTTCACTGAGCGCTTATTTGCATTTGTTTCAGAATGACGAAACGTTTGTACCTCTAGAGAGGGATTTTATACGCAACGACGTTAAGAAACTTGAAGGAGTTAATACAAAAATTCAGAAGCAATCATGGCACTTATCTGACGATGACGTTTTGAAGTTAAAGGGAATTAAGGGAGCCTTGTGTCGCACAGGCTGGAAGTTGGTAGAGCTAATTACTCTCTTTAATGAGGAAGCCTATAAAATTTTCCAAACAGAAGCACCGGTCACACAGATGGAAGAAGTGCATCCACCAATTTTTGGTGTCTAAATCCTCAGGAGCTCCTTGTACCTCTTTGATACATGGGTTTTGTAAAATTGATTTGAAGGAAATGGAATGTTGTTAAGTACATCAAAACACAATATTCCATGGAAATCATTGAAAGCCACACATTTTTTACTCTTTTATCATTATGAGGGTTTTTTTTTCACCCAGTTTTGAACAGGGATTATTGAAGTCGCCTAAAAAATTGAAGTAGAGAAATTGACCGGGGAGCTGGTCAGTTCTTGGCGCATGCGCACCTTGAATTAAAACCGACTGACAGTGAAACTCCATATGGGGATAAACGGGTCGAGGTAGGCGCAGGAGCTTGGAAGCACCGCGACCTTCGTGCACGCTTGTCAGCCTTACCCATCCCGAGCTCATTTTACATTGATTTGAATGGGGAAAATAACTATTTACACCCACTATTTGGCAACTACACTTTGCAAGTCAGTCCAATTCGCGCTCCTAGTCACCGCATCTCACTCACACACCCGCATAAAGTTTTACATACACACATATAGGCGGGACGAATCGGGAGACGCCAGTCGCCGAGATCCCCCGCGCAAAGTTCCTCAAGTTCGCGGATGGATTTCCGCATATTTCGGTATACGTATCATTCGTGGGAACAGGGTGAGTGTGTGTGTGTGTATCGAATCCAAGATCGGAGAAAAATCATATTGCGAGGCTTTTGCGGTGACCGTAGGCGGATTCAGATGGCAGACTAAGCTCTTCCGAAGCGTTTAAGGCAAAAAAAAAGAAGAAGAAAAAATCGGGATTCGAACTCCATTACGCTTTTTCTTTGCGGAGAATGGACCTCTGAATGATGTTTGTGTCAGGTGACTGACAAATTTGGAATGTCAAGGAGAAAAATAAAAACTAGAAACCTCATGGGTTTTATCGGAATGGTTCTTTGTATCCACAAAAATTACTTTTTCCTCCTCAAAATAAATGAAAATGTGTGAAAGAATGTTGAGATTCGCTAAAAAAGAACGGTAAGAATTTGGCGTATTCTCATTTTTGTTTTAAATCTGTAAATTAGAATGAACTAGAGAAGCTCCAAGAACTCAACACCCCCCCCCCTCAAAATAAAACTAAATGTTGGCCTCGCGGAACCCGGGACGCTCTACAAAATCCTCACTGAGCATTGAGCTGCCGATCAACTAGGCAACTATTCGTGTTTTGATGTGTTGCTCACGGTATCTTGTGAAATTGAAGGCGATTTATCGTCCTTTCGCTCGACCCCAACTGCTGATTGAGCTTTAGCTGGGTTATTTCTTATATACAGCAGACTGCACTATCGTAAACTTCCAAGTTTTCTTCTTCTTTTTCCTCATTCTTCTCTCTGTTTGGAAGATTTAAATTCTCGACAAAATTTCAACCACATGAAGTAGTCAGCGAATATAAACCATGATCTCACTACTTTTGGCAGTCGTGGCATAAGGAGCAAAAAAAAGAGAGAATAAGAGGAAGAATAACTATTGATGCTTGTAATTTTTTTTGCAACGGCACTAATTTTATTTAATTTGAAAGGTTTTTTTCTTCTTTTTTTTAAAGTTTATTTACTGTTTATTAGACGCACACAGAAATCATTTGAGCAGGTGGTATCACCAAACCTCACGTAATTGACGTTTTTCCACAAAATTTTAATTGTTCTATTGTTCCACTCATAGTCTTGTTCGACTTAATATTTATTATTTTCGCATCATAATTCCATTGAAATGTTTCAATACATGTTATAAAGGCATCATACGTATTTGTCGGAGCGCCAACCAAGGCTAGCCAATGGATTTCATTACATGCAAACAAAAACAATATTTAAATGAGAGACTCTTCGCACACAATCCACTCGTGCATTTATTGACTTATATGTCATGCATATTTATTCCGGGTTTGCATTTTTATTGATCCCTCAGTGTCAAATATAATGTGTGTCGCTCTTTTGTGTGTCGGTCTAACTGAAAGCCGAAACTGGTTTGAATACCGATTACAGGTCCAATCCAATATTCTCTTTTTAATCATTTACCCATTCTCTTACGCTTATTCCTAGCTGCTCCGGTTAAAAGTTGACGAACTTCAGATCCTCCACGCCTGTTTACTGCGATTCAGTTCGCAGAATGGAAAAAACAGTTTATGCAACTACATAGTTGGATATGATGCAATTATTCGATGCTCTCAGCTCACCTTTACTGCACCTATGCGCGGGCTGCGGAAAAATTCTTTTGGCATGCTAATTGCGCTCATAACCGCACATACCAAAAATTCTTGCTTTTTCATTATAAAACGTGATGAATTAGCGTATAGGTCACAGACTTAAATAAATCTTAGCGTAGCTAGGCGCACGGTTTCGACTTGTCAACCCGTCAAAATTAAGACTAGGGATTTATATTCTCCCTTAAGTAAGAGTTTTAATGTTTATTTACCATCGAATTAGATTCATTGTCATGATGAAGCTAGAGTTGGGGTTTTATGCAGCAAATCCGTCCCCATCAGGATTTTAATTTACTGACATCGTAGAAATCCTTTTATGCATAATAAATTTCAGATGATTTTAAATACCTATCTCCGGCTACTTTATAAACCACGTCTTCACCTATATCGACGAAAGTAGTTGAACAACTTTGAAAAAAAAAGAGATTATTTAGGAATTGTATCTCAGCCGTTTTGTCCTATTCGAATCAAAATGAAATTTCAATGAAATTCGAATTTCCAGAGGAGGAACCTCAAAATGCTATTGTGAAAATGTGTGACTTTCTCCCTCATCAGCGTTTGAAAACCTACGAATTTTGTGAATACTCAAAAAAAAAAAAAAAAAAAAAAAAAAAAAAAATCATTCAATCCTTGCAAATCTGATCGAACGTCTGGCCGAAACGATAAATATTTGGAGTTATTAGATAAGTACGGAAAATTGTAGTTAGAAGATCCAGGCTCCTACGCTCTGACAACAGGGATGAACTTATGTTTGAATTTCTTGCTGTTTGGCAGAACTCCGGTTCAAAATTTAATGTAAGAGATTGCTGCTCAGAATGATATTCAATGAGTCAACACAACAATAATTCAAATCAAATATTTCAATCGAAATTAATAATAAGACCACGTGGACGATGCCTTTTAAAAAATGATCAAAAAAAAAAAAAAAACAATGTGAAAGTCATACTCTGAAAAACAACAAAACAGAAAACGTGTTCCGTAGAACATATCACGCCGTGAGTATTTTTGTTCCCGCCCGAATAAAAATAGATTCCATGAGGTGTAAATAATCAGGACCATTATATCGTGCACAGGATCGTATAGTCGTCGGTAATCAGTCACTCATATAAATGCGTGGCCGTATTAGGGCATGAGTTCACGAGGCCCGGCAGCTGAACGACAACTAGTAGCTCTTATTATAGATCACACCTGCCAAATTCGCTCTGACCATTGTCTCTATGAAGAATTACGTTTAGTAGTGACCTCCAAATTAGTTCATTTGTGTCAGCTTATTAATATCTCTGAGGGAGCTTATGAAGGTGCATGGCCCCTGAACTAAGTCAATTTCAATTCCGCACAATACCACTGGTCAGGGTTAGAATAGCACGGTTATGCACTGCAGTACTTATTTTTTTTCGGAATACGAGAGAGACAATGACTGTTGTGTCGAACACATTTGGACAGCATTTTGCAATTTGGAACTACAAATTATAGCCCAGTTTAAAAAGAACGTATGTGCCATTAGTTTCCCTATGCACATAAGTGTTTTTCCAGAAAAGTCAGAATTTATAGTTCCAAATTGCAAAATGCAGTCCATTTCTAAATCCAAATCTAAGTGAAAGTCAAGGTTTTTCTTATCCGTCAATCGAGGCGTCTAGAACCAAAACCGGTCATCTCCATTGCCTTGTTTAAAAATTGCGCGATCATTATTATTTTAATATTGAATTTGAAATTATGAATTCCTGTTATCAAACAAGAAAATTTAGAAAAATTTTAAAAGTAGCTGGAAGATTCGACTGCTCCTCGTAGGCAATTCGTATGATTGCGCAATTCCTATACATTGCAATGGAGATTGCCGGTTTTGGTTCTAGACGTATATCTATCGCTCTAAAAAAGGGCGTGAACTGTAGTATACGATCGGAGATCATCGCCGTATTTTGTATGAAAGTTTATTGCAAAAGTACAATATTACCCAGTGCTTTCGTTATTACGCTGTTCAGCGGCGTATCGGCCAGCACCGCACATCTCTGTGATAAACTGTTCTTTCAGCGCGAGGAAGGAGTGTTCCTCGATCATGTCGTGGCGGCAACGTCATAGTGCACCAACTTTCCGAGTCGAGCGTGTCCGATGATTCATAATTTGCAGGACTCCTCTCCGCCCCCTCCCCCTCCCCTCCAAAGTTCGATTGACGGGCCTCCGCGATTAGTGTCCACGCCGAGCAAATAGAGTCATCGAAGTATCGACGATGCATTCGTGATGAACCACCCGGAGGTCGGGGTCGGTGTTGCCAAGCTGCTGTAACTTTCCCGAACTAATCTTTGCCTTGGGGCAATTTTCTCGGGTAAGGTGAGAAGTTGCAATGGAAACACTTTAAATTGGATTGCAGTTTGCAAAAAGGAACCACTAGCATTGCAATGTTGCTAAGATTGTGCAACTTCTTTTGTCTTGGAGGAAAAACCCGATTATCCCTTAATAGTTCCTATTTTACTCGCTAAAACTGTAAATTTAAGACAAAATTTCACAATTTCCGCAATTTTATTGCAAAGGATGAAGTTGCACAATCTTAGCATCATTGCAATGCTAGTGGTTCCTTTTTGCAAAATGCAATCCAATTATCTCTAGGTCATGCTTAAAGGCACCTTTAGACAGGGCACGAGATGAAAAACCACAAAACACTTTACCAAAATTTCACGCAGTGTATGACGGATATGTATTGGCTCTTTCCAATTTAAATTCATGAGTTACAATATGGAAATAGAATAACCAAGGTATGTTCAAGTCAAATCGAGCAAAATTAATTGTTTTAAACATATCCTTTAAAAAACCTCGTTCAGTTTTTTTTTCTTTTTTTTAATTGTTTTCGTTTTCTTCAATAATATTTCCTAATACAATATAGCAGAGTTACCACAACGAGTAAGCATTTCCCAGTTTCCAAATGGTAATTTCTAGCCCACACTCATGACAACCCTGCGCATGCGCATGCATTTTACATTATCACTCATTGAAACATAAAGATGGAATTTCTTACACACCAGGTCAGCTTTCCCACGAGGGCCGGCTTTAAGAGCGTTTTTTTGAGCTTAACATTCACTAAAAGATAAAACTATTAGCACCATCGTATCCTCCGCGAAATTTTCCTTTGGAATAATCGTTATTCATAAATCGAAACAACCCTTTGCATGCAGAAATTCTAATGATCCGTCCTACCCATTTGTGCCTCCTTTGAAGTGCGTGGGCAATGTACCGCTAGAAAAATTGGCAACGTTGAAACCACGTGTTGTTACCAAGTGAGCTTTACTTTGCGACCGCCCACGCCTAGCCAATCGCGAGGGACCATTCTCGCGGACGGAGATTGAGACGTCACGCTAATCCAGAGCTCTCTCCATTCATCTCTCCCTCTGGCAGTCGTCAGCCTGAGATCCGAAAGCTATGCTGATCCATGTCATGCGGTATGGACGGAATAAATATTTGGTCCAGATTGACGTTAAGTGGTCGCGACGGACCTAAGTTTAGTATGCTGTCGTACTAAGGAAGAACACCGTATGATCATTCGCGGGTTGCCAAATTTTCCTTGATATAACGCGTATTTTTGACGAAATACATGCATATTTTTTCTTGAAATTTTCAGATATTTTAGATTAAATTGTGTAAAAAATTATGTGAAAATTTTGAAAAAAAATATGCACAATTTTTCTGGTAAATTCGGTTTTATCGAAGGAAATTTGGCAACGTATGAAGGCTTATACAGCATTCTTTCTTAACACGACAGTATAGATAGGGGCATTAGTATCGTGGCTTGTGGAACTCTGAAGGATAGGCAATTATACATGCATTTTCTTACCGGTGCGTCACGAAATTAATGGTTATAAGTGTCTCTTAATTGATCTGGGCTTATTTTTTGTCAAAGAAAAAATGTTTGCAACTGGTTGTGGAACACTCCATGTGAGCCCCAGATATTTCTCTATCTTGGGTCAAGAAAAATGTATTTTTGGTGAGACGCTGGCACTGTATGTATGCTCAAGACCGAATTTTCAACAACAGGAAGATTTTGTAATAGTTAGCAAAAGGAAAAACTATAGAATAAGCCAGAAATCATAGGAAAATATGTTTTAGTGCCAGGACCGATTATTTTTCCGTTGCTAAGTCTGTGAGTACTAATCATAGTCACTAATTATAGTGTATAATCCTGTAAAATTCTTTTGATGTGATTACTTTTATTGGTATTTGAAAAGGGATTATTTTTTGCTGTTTCAAACTATTGTCTGATGCCAATTTTTATTCTTTAAACTAATTGAGAGCCAAAATTAGTTCAAACAGCTGTTATAACTTAATTTTTCAAAACGTGGAACGGTCCTTTTGTGGAGGATTCACTCCAAAGTTTTACCATATTTTACTTATTTTTGTACAAATCGGAAGATCAAACCCGGGAATACACAAATCACCCAATCCTCTTTCTAACGTATTTGTCGATTAAGCTCGAGGAACGACGCGACGGACAATCTTGAACGTAGAGACCGGCTACTTACTACTGCTTGTTGCGTTCGAGTGTTTTGTAGGCGAATTTTAGTTGTGATCCATCTGTCGGTTGAATTTTAACAAGATCGGAGGTGCGCGCGCTGAGCATGAATTTTGCGTTCTATACCTGCAAATGGCTCATTAAGATTTGTATTAAAATGTATTCACTCTCCTTTCTTCCTATGACTGCATTTCTTTTCCTTCTTTTTTTATTTTATTTTGTTGTACTCGTTTCCGATACAAACGCCTTCTGCGACCATTCTTTTTTCTAGCCTGGCGTTAAAGTCTCTCCGATTTTCTATGAATTCACGCTTACGATCGCATCTTTCAGCAGTGAATGGAGATTACGCACTGTGAATTTTTTCATTGCGTTTGAGTTCATTTTGCTGTTTCAGAACTGTCCAGTAAAAGTTCTCCACAAATGTGTCGAGCAGTATTCTGTTGGAAGAATGCACGGAGCAGAAATCGTAATTTTTACTGAACGTATATCTTGCTCTTTGACACTTCTATAGTAATAATTAATATCTTTTACGATATCCAATCATATTTCACATGAGCCGATCTTCTCCTTAGTACTACAGTATAGAGCTATGTTTCTAGCGTTACAAATTTATAAAAAGTTAGGCTCTTTAAAGCTAATGCATTTTTTTTTCGTGCCAGCACTAAAACAGGGATTAGGCTGGAAACAGAGAAACCTCGCGGCCCTTGACCTTGCTAATTCGATTACGTTCAACCCGCAATTCATGAATTCATGCAGTTGCGAGTTTTGAACTACGGCTGAGGTGGCACGAGGGTGTAAAATAAAGAATCGTNGGGGGGGGGGGTTAGTGGACTTGTGCGATGATGGATGGCCCGGT